AGATACAGGGACACTGGAGCGCTTTAAAGCCGCGATTCAGCAGCGGATCGCTCGTATGTCAGCTTATAGACAAACCAGCTGATTGACGTGACTTTGAAATTCTCCAGTGTCCCTGTATCTGTGGTTACACCCAGTAAACAGCAGTGAGTTCAGTGAACTGATGACCTTCACTGTCAATCACAGTCATTTCTGTTGAGCATGAACACAATGGCAAAACAGCTGTTTAAGAACGTGCTCCACAGTGCTTAAATGTTTACAGAAAATGGGCGTTTTTAAAATGTTAGTACCAACTGGTATCGAATTCCAGTATCATGACAACCCTAGCGGATGTTAAAACAACCTTAATCATAAGGTAAACAAAACAAAAGTCTCCACCTGTAGCTCCTTCACGCAATTCAACTCTTATAAACAATAGGTGCGTTTGACATGAACCTCAGCTGCAGCCGGTGATCAACGAGATTAGCCGAGCGCAGGCGGGGGCGGAGTTGAAAACGGAGCCGTCAAGACGGACAGCTGGACACTTCGGGACTCAAAGTTGCTGCAGTCATGATGACCGATCACATGGCGTCATCATATTTTTTTTTGTTATTTTTATTTATTACAACAAAACATTTACAAATAAAAATGAATACAGTCTCTACAAACTGTAGTTCCTTTTTAAACAATAAGGGAGAATTATGAATAAAATATATAACAAATGCATGAGAGAAATAAGAGGAAATGAGAGGTTAATATGAACATAAAAACGAACAGGTCTATTAAATACAAAGCAATAAGCATAAATTCTAGGAGTTAAACATCAATCTTTAGGCTAATACTTCTTGTTTGAATATGCTAAAAAAGGGTTTACATATGTACATTTATAGATATAAAAATTTACAATATAAAAAGCAAAACAAGGTGTTTTGATTAGGTCTTAATAAATGAGATTATTTTGGATAATGAATGAATTTTCAAAAAAGCATTTTAATCCAAAAAGATTGTGTTGAAAAGAACAAAAGGTAAAATAAGTGAGCTATGTAGAAGTTTCCCAGAAAGAGCAGGTAGCCTTTAAACTGCTAGACAGGAAATAAAATATATGTTTATATTATAATAATATAACCATTTAATAATTATTTAATAATATAGTTCTTTAACTTAATTTGTTAAGAGAGCTTTAGGGTGGCAGGATCAATGATGATGATTATTTTATTTCAAGTCTGTAAGACCTATGAGTTCATATTTAGGTTATTCACTAAAATATATCATTTAAATCGTTCATGGAGATGAATGCAGTAAATAGTCTGTATAAAAAAGTTAAAAATAAACCTGTGCAAACAAGCTAACCTTTATAACCAGATTATTTAACAAAAGAAGATTACTGCAGTAAAATATTTGTAGTCTTTTAATAAGCAAGATGTGTACAGGATAGAGAGGGTGTGAAAAGTGAATTGTTTGTTTTGAAACTTTTGAATCGGAATTTGTCCAATTATAAACCCGAAATACACGTGTTGGTTGTCATGTGGTGAACTCGGCCAATCGTGTAATATCGGTGTCGTCATCAAAGCTCCTGCAGTCTCTCTTCAGAAGCTGCACGGTCTGAGTTTGCCGTCTGATCTCGGAGCGCTGACGCGGTACTTTGATGCCACATGTGACAGTCATGTGGCGTCGGCGCAGCATCAATCTGGACAAGATTTCTAACCAGCATGCACCACTTTAAGACAGATTTCGATCGATCTGCGCAGCGCTGCATGAAGTCGAACGCACCAAATCACTCCATTGGGCTTGCTGCTCTCAGCACCGCCCACGCTCATCACCACCAACAAGCCAAACAATCACAGAGCTTGCGCTATGCGTTGATGCTACATGTTATTACATTTTTCAGAAGTGTGCATCAGATGGCATTTGACGCAGAAGCATAAATCAGCCTTTAGACTTGCAACACAGACAGCACAGCAGGTACTCAAATTGGCTGGGCAATAAACAGTTTCATCCTTTCCCGAAACCTAGAATAGCAAATTAAATATGTTTGTGTGGTAATCTCACCAACTGCTAATCAATGGTGCTGTCACTAGTGCTGAACAAGCGGCTAGAAATCAAAGACGAGACTGATAAACTAATCTTTTCTTTGTTTTACTTTGAGTTACTCGTATTTGTATTGCAGACTTTGTCTAATTTGGACTGATATCGATATGTCATTCTTATAGAAATTATTTACTTTTTCACTGGGTAGTGCAGAAATTAATAAGGGAGCACCACAGCTGATACGAAATACTTTCGTATGAGAAAAAGTAGTAAGGGGTGGGGTTGGGAAAGGGTCAATTGCAGACTATGCAGACACTTTTATTTGAAATTTGGAAAAAAATGTCATCAGTAATTGTATGGAATAAAACTAAACAGTATAAAATTACAGCTGAAAAACAAAAGTTACATGGAATGACTTGACAACGTTTTGGGGTCATGCTGTCTTTGGAGAATGTTTTACATTTTTTCTTATAACTTTACTTTCATGGATAAAATTAAATTTTACTGGAAATTTTGCTGAAATTAGGGTTAAATTCAGCACAGCCTTATAGGTATTAAACCAATCACCACCGAGAAGTACATGTATTCATAATGACAACTGAGTTCAAGGCGCCATAGTGGGTCAGTGGGTAGCACAATCGCCTCAGATCAAGAAGGTTGCTGGTTCAAGCCTCAGCATTTCTGTTTGGAGTTTGCATGTTCTCCCAGTGTTCGCGTGGGTTTACTCTGGGCGCTCCGGGTTTCCCCCACAGTCCAAAGACATGTGGTATAGATGAATTGAATAAGCTAAATTAGCCGTAGTGTATGTGTGTGTGTGTGAATGCAAGAGTGGTCGTGGCTGGAAGGGCATCCGCTGCATAAAACATATGCTGGATAAATTAATGGTTCATTCTGCTGTGGCCACCCCTGATAAAATCAGGGACTAAGCCAAAGGAAAATGAATGAACTACATTAAGACAGATTTCTTTTATATACTGCTTTACCTGGTTATATAGTAGTACATTTCGGATGCAGTTAATGTTGTATAAGTGTACATAATATATTATCTTACCGAAAGGGCATTCCTCCTCGTGGGCCGGGTCTTGAGCCGTTCCACATCGTGCTCTTCCTCTCCTTGAAACTCCCCCTTTTGCACGAGTTTCGAGAGCCGAAAGTCCTATCATTTCAGAAATTAAAAAAAAGTCCAAACTCATATTAGAAATCATATTAATGACACAATAACAAACACCGATTATTTGAAAATTATTGGTAAAATACAACTAGCTTTACGATCTCATTCGAACACATATTTCACTGGGGGAGGGAAATGACGACATGACATACTTACGCTCTAGAAGGCCAATTCAATCAAATATAACGGTTATATCTGCGTAACAAAACAATGAAGGTTTTAAAATATCGTTTCCTTCATGCTATAAGACTGGGGTTAATAACTTCACATCAAAAATCAAGTACGTCGTCAAAGCCTCATGCTAACGCTATACGTCCGACTAACGTAAATTTCTGACTAAAGGGGATAAAGTCAAACCAGATGACGAATATATATTTGTGTTTGACTGACACCCAGGTCAAACAGCAAATTTGACGACTCAAATGTTTAACACAAGAAGGCTATTGTTTTATTCATCTTACAAACCCATCATAAAGAAGGCTAACGTGCTAACATTAGCTTTCTATCAAGAGATTTATTTAGGGAATATAATGTTACAGCGTTTTCATCCGTCCTCATTTTAACAAAAGCTAAAACTAACATTTTTCTCTTTCATTGATGTAAAAAAAATCATTCTCACCAAGCTTGTAGTGGTCTTTCCGCAGGATTGTTTCTGAGTTTCCGACAAAAAGAGGCGGAAGATACATCCCCGTTTCCGGCGAATGAGGGCTTTTGGGAGTTGACGTTTAAGAATGGGGTAAAACGAAGTCCAGAATTTTGTTCAACTAAGAGCTCATTTGTACTATTTTGGTCCGTGTACGTTTTGTTCATTTGCTTTCCATTTTCAAACGGAATAAAGGAAATGGAGAAAACGGCCGTTTTTCCGTTTTTCCTTTTGCTCACGAGAAAACGAAAAAACGAGATTTTGGCTGGATTTTCGTTTTTTGGTTTAGGGTAGGAAAACGGATAAACGACTTTAAAATTCATTTTACACATGTAGGCGGTGCTGAAACGCCCTCTTTCCTCTAATTGGTCAACCAAATCTGCGCTCGTGACGTCACCCTCAAAATAAAAGCCTTACACGCAGGCTTTTAATTATTATTATTTAATTATATATTAACTAAGTTTACATATTCTATCATTTGAACCACACACAGTTAGCAGGCTTACATTCACTGCGTATGTATAAATTAAATAAAAACGTAAAGCAGTATTCTTAGACATTTGTCATTAAAATAAGGTCATAGTTCACTGCCAAGCTTTTTGCTGCTGTGCACCTGATGCAGAGCAAAGAAAGCCATTTCCGAGGAGCACCTGGTTTGCATGATTGTTTCAGAGCAAGGGCTTTATAATAATAATAATAATTATTATTATTATTATTATTATCAGTTACTAGTGTTTTTATTGTTTGGTGTGTTTTTTTTCTTTTTAATAGTGGTTAGCAGAACCAGAATAAGAACACTTTGGGCCCTGCTATAAAAACAAAGGGTACCATTTGTTTTCATTTATTTCTTCCTATTTTAATTATATATTGTAATTATTTTTTTGATAATTAATACTATTTTATTGCAACGCCAAAGTAGGCCTGTCTTATTATTATTTTTTTATTATTAAATTTGCTTTTTTTTATTGTAGGCTAGATGGCAGGCTTTAAATATTTTAAATAACATTTACTCATAACCTTACTAATTCGAGAGCCGAACCTAAAAAAGTTTAAGTGCAATAAGCCTGTACAATAAAGGGAGCCGCAATGCATATTTCTAGCGCATTCTTTCACTCAACAATTATTGCTGGAATAATGAAATAAATTTTAAATTAACTAATTAAACACATTATAGTTGATAAAAAAATTGTGTCTAGTAGTTCCGACAAACAGATGAGCTCCCCACCCAGCAATAGTTCGTCGAAAAGACGTTGAAAAGACGACATTGTCAGACGTCCAAACAACGTGGAAAACAGGTGGGAAAGTGAAAGACGAAACTACGTCTTTTTTACGTCGTCGAAAAGACGTAATTGTAAGACGTCCAAACAACGTGGAAAACAGGTGGGAAAGTGAAAGGTGAAAAGACGTCTTTTTCATGTCGTCGAAAAAACGTAATTGTAAGACGTCCAAACAACGTGGAAAACAGGTGGGAAAGTGAAAGGTGAAAAGACGTCTTTTTCATGTCGTCGAAAATACGTCAATTTTAAGTCGAAATTTGGTTGTGAGAAATACCTTTATAAACGTTTTAGAAAATTCACATGATTCAGAAATTCAACATTTTGTTTAAAAAATATTATTTATTAGCCTAATATTTGCAGACAAAAGTAATGACAAAACATGTATTGGTCAATTTAACATTAACAACAACAAAAGCATCAGATAGTTTTTCCGCTCTGCGTCTGCCACCGCCAGACCGTACAGGTGATCTCTCACGGCCCTGTAAATTCCGTGGCTGTTGTGTCGCAGTTTGGCTGCACCTGCTATAACAAAGAAAAACTCTGTTTTAGTTGATATAATGCACATCCTTATGTGTTATTTTAAGAAAATTAACGTGACATTCAAATAATAAATGCTATTTTGACTGCATGCTACACACGTTTTTGTTTAAGGACACATTTCAGTTAATTTAACCATACTTTTTATTGTATTATTATTTATTTTTATGAAATGGACAGAGATGGCAAAAATACACACATCCTACTCAAAAAAAAGTGATACTGATGCTTAAAACAACTCTGGTAAAAGTTGAAGTAGCCTACTAACTGCACTTTTGTAGTCAAATATGGCCTCAAACACGTAATAAAAAAAGTTTCTATTACTACCTGTTTTTCACGCTGGTAACTAGACTCACATCCAGGCCCGGCGCCAGGAATCAGAACTGAGGGGGCATTTTAAATCCATAGGGGGGCACTAAACCTGGTGGCTGATTTTGGTGTCTCTAGTTCCTTTCATTTAGGCTATTTATTCACATTTATTATTACTTCACTTTGTTACAGACCTAAGGCAGTATTATACGTTTTAATAGTAATATTAATATGCACAGTGTCGCTATTACTGATTTTATTAATGATGGTAATGCAACGATACCGCTTATTAATGCAGACGGATCATGGCTTCAGTGCCGAACGAGTGCTTTAAATCATATTTTATTCTCCTTATATTATTTCAATTTTATTTCAAATAGCAGGCATATGAATGTTTAAAGTTTTAGGTAAAGACTTCAAATTATGCCCACACATGCAAGCTGACCCACGATCAGACTATTCGTATATCCGGTAAATAAATATAGTAAAATCAGCTTAACCGAGTCATCCCGCTTTACGGAGCCTATTATCCAACCAACATCAGTGTTAGAGAAAAGCTAAATGTTACCCTAATGTCATTCAAAACAATTACTTCGTTACATTTTAAGGCATTAGTGTAGCCAGAAAAATACCTAAAACAGATGCCTAAATTCACAGTTATTACCGTGAAAATATGTTTGGCACGGAAACCAGTCAACTTAATAGGCTATAAAACTTTTTTCATCATTTTAAATGTAAAAATAAAGATTTATCTTAGGCTATCGTAAGTGTATTTTTTTCGTGATATTGTCTGCTTGTCATTTGTAAACCATCATAAACCATTAGGTTACTAGGCCTACCCGTCATTTTATTTATTAATTTATAATAAATTAACATTTTTAGTTATTTAAATTTTAATAACTTGTTTTCGGGTTATTTTTATTTTAGGGCCATGAGCTACAAGTCAAAACAAATTCGATATGCTGTAATATATTTAATGTTGTTTAATTTTGTATAAGCAAATAGCAGTATAGCCTTAATTACATATTTGTAAAAGATTGTGAGAGGTTTCTCGGTTGATCCGCGGTAGTTGCACTTAAGCAATATATATATTCCATTTATATCACTGCAAACTTGACTTCGCAGGCTGGACATCTTTAAATGCAAAAGGCATTTATTATACCTAGACTGCTGCTGCATAATGGGATGTTTCTCTATACAACTGTAAAAGTGCGCTTTTTAGCAATGTCAAAATGAAAGAAAACATTCAAAGTGCTATGCGTTTTGTCAATTTTAGCTTAACTGTAATTATATTAATAATAAAACTTTAATGAATAAATTTAAATATTATTTATAGTGTAGCCTACTGTGGGACTGTGCAGTGAACTATTTATTTTTATTTAAACATTTTATTAGGCTACATCTTCCCGAACAACTAATGTGAAAATGACTGGCAGTTGAGTCTCTGCTAAATTTCTTCTGCGTTTCTTCCTTTTAGAGCTCAAGAGAGTTGTGTTTAAAGATTTAGTTGACCGAAACATGTAATTAATTAAGCTGATCGTCTCATGTCACCCACTTTTCTCCCTTGTGAGTTGAGTGCGCCTCCATCGCCGTGTGCGCGTTTTATTTTCGGGCGCACCTGACCTGACGCGGGGACCAGATCTCTGGACTATAGGACTAGCTTTAATCTCACAATTTTCATAATTTAATTGCTATGTCATATATTTTAAAATATTTAAATGTGTGTTCTACAGGATGGAACGACGGAAGTGTTTGTAATTAATGACAGAAAGAATTTTAAGTTTTGAGTGAACAATCCTTTATAAAAACTGGGGGGCACAAATTATTATATATAGTATACATTTATTCTATTTAAAAAATTGCATGATCTTTTTTTTTACGAGGTATTTTCCTGATCTATGCATTATAATTTTATCTATAAATGGCCTGCAATCCGATCAATAAAAACATCTTATTACCTGGTGTAAACAGTCAATCAGCCATTACAAACCTGTTGTAATCATCTAAATAGCCATTTTGCCTTCATAAAAAATGGGTGTGAGAAAAAAAAAAAACTGTGGAAGGAAAATATATTTTTAAGTTTTTAGCGTTACCTTAGCAAAGTTCCCTCACAAAGATGTTTTCCACAAACACTAAATGTTTTCACAAGCACACTATATACTCTTGAAGGCCTATTTATTATTGATTTTTTTTTACATTAAACGCATAATAATTAAGTGCAAAAAGAACAGCCGAACTTCGGAAAAAGTGATCACTGCGGTGCCGCGATGGTTGCTTTGTTGATTGCAAAGCATGATTGATGATTGCCCCCTCAGAAAGAATCTGTGCGCCCCCTAGTTTTCACAAAGGATTGTTTACTCAAAACTGAAATTTCTTTTTATCATAAATTACTAACACTTTAGTCATTCCAACCTTCAAAACACACAATTAGATATTGTATAATATGAAATAGAATTAAATAGAATATGAAATAATTAAATTATGAAAATTGTGATAATAAAGCTAGGCCTATGGTGCAGAGATCTAGGGTGCGGTTCCCAAAACCATCAACTTAGGTCGCAAGTTCCGTCGTTACAAGCAGTTTGTTGATTTGCCATTTCCCAAATCCATCGCTCCAACAAACATTCGCAAACTGTGTCGCAAACTTGAGCGCTCGCAACTACAGCTCTGCAGCTAGTTGAAACATAGTTCTAGATGTGTTCTATTGCCACTTATCCCCCTATGCCCTATTCATTTAGAACAATATAACATTTAAACATTGAATGATTAAAAATAAAAAAGCATTAAGATCATCTCTCTTAGGTGTAATTTGCTTTTTACCTATTTTTACAGTTTAGTTTTAGCGATCTTCATATTTACAGTTGTGCTCCCTTTGCAGTGCACTTTAAAAACACTGATGTCATTTTGAACACAGCCTCAAGTGAAAGCTATAGGTGACCTATTATTTAAAAGCGGAATGTTACATCTCCAAAGCTTGTGAAAACAAAAAGCATGCGTGAATTCTTTTGATTTATAGTAGGTTATTTATTAAATATCTGTACTGCATATGACAAGGGCCTGCCGGTTAGAACTTTCTGCTCTGGTTTACAAGTGTCAAATTGTAAAAGTAGACTTTTCCAAAAATAAATAAACAATACCCTACTTATTATTATTAATATTAATAATAATAACAACAACAACAACAACAAGAATCTCCATCATCATCATTAATATTATTATTAAATTATGTTTTTTTTTCACTTCTAATACACAAAATTAAAAATAATAGTTATTATCATCATGATCATCATTAGTATTATTATTATTATTATTAAATTATTATTTTTAAATTTCCTAATATATAATAAATATTAAATTTCATTTTATAATAAATCGCCTAGTGATTATTTATTCATATGATTTATTTGCAGCATCTGGGGGCAACACAACTAATTTATACATGCACCTTTAACACACCTACTTAATGTTTAACTCTGGGTGGGTCGCCGGTAGATAAGATCAATAGCCATAAATCCGCAATGCATACTCTCATTTTAAAAATCACGCGACCATCATCTTACAATTTTAAATAATAAATAATCTTATTTATTATTAAAACGAGTGATTAAGCAATGCAGCGCCATTAATAAGCCTAGCCAACTACAGAGAAACAAAGCAACCATTGCGGCATCCGCAGTGATTACTTTTTCCGAAGTTCAGCTCTTCTTTTTTGCACTTGTTTATTATGCGTTTAATGTTAAAAAAATCAATAATGAATAGGCCGACAAGAGTGTATTCTGTGTGTGTGCGTATGTTATCACTGAACAGAAAGTTGCTTTGTCTGTCTGGCAATATTTCGGCTTTTAATCGAATGAAAAGTTTATTTAGATGAGCCAATATTTTTTTTAAAATGCAGTAAAGTAACTTTGACATGAGGCCACACATCGAATCTGGGGTCTGATCTCATCTAGTTCTCCCTCGCTGTCATCCAGACACTTGATACAGACGCCACACAGTCGCAAAACGGTACCAGCTGAGAGGTAGAACAGCTGAAGCCTTTGTGAAATCTGTCAAAATACAGCGCTGAAATTAACAGGCATATGTCTTTGAGCCAAAAAAGTCTTTAGGATATGTAAAAACGCAAGAGCCAGTGTAGAAGTTGTGTCGTCTAATAATTATATTTATTCTAATAAAATGAAAACCAAAATAAACAATTCATTGCATTTTTTTGTTTAATAAAAATATACAGAAACTAAAAAAATCAAAGAGTGGCTAGTTTTTATTAATGTGTTTTAATATTAATAAAAAATATGCTCAGCCTATTTAAGCTTAACTGTTACACCGCCAATAAATGTCTCACTGTCATTTAAAACATGCAATTCATAACACACCAGCAGGGCTGCGTTTCTCAAACAACTCACCACTGCACTATCATACGATGCATTGTTTGGGGAAAGAACTATGTAGTGACGAATGTTTCCCAAAATTCTCTGTCGCTTACCCATCTCTTGAACCACGTTAGTTATAGCGTAAAAGGCCCATATGTTTTAAACGGGATGGAGAAACTATTTTTTTAAAGAAGAACCCCATCATTTATTTGTGCAAATAATATTGTTTTACAAGCACGCATTTAAAATAAAATACTAAAAATATTAGTTCTGCCAAAAACATGCACTCGCTTTCCATATTAACTGACATATATATTAATGCCACATAGATCCAATGTTTCCTTTACTAATAATATTGAGAATGTGACATATACTAAATCAAATCACTTACAAAAGCTAACACGTATTCTATATTCTATATTCATATATTAATCATATGAATAAATGAATAATGAGGCTATTTATTATAAAATGTATTTTTTATTATATATTAGGAAATGAAGAAAAAAATCCTAATTTAATCATAATATTAATAATACCAATGATGATCATGATGATGTCTGAAAGATAACATAATTAGCGTGAAAAACAAATTATATAAACATATATATATATATATATACATATTAGCAATAAACTGTAGTATGGTTCAAAAACATATTTTTACTATAGTTTTTTCATGCGAGTAGCTTACAGTAGTTACGTCAATGGCAGAAAATATATTTCAGTTCAGTAGAAAACTCTGTCCTCTTTATAATATTTCTATTTATTTCTCCTTTGTATTATAGTATCAATTAAAAAATGCAGACTTTCCTTTGTCTCACATTCATATTTTTATTTCCTGCTCTCCATCTTAATTTTATGAGTCACCAGAATCTCTTGATTACACCCAAAGTTTTGCTGATAAAAATATATATATATTTTGCAAGCATTCACTTTAATAAGTCAATAACAGATTATTAATATCCAATTAAAGATCATTTCACCAAGCTCATACCACAGTTCTTAAAAACAGGATGCTTTTGATTTATACAACTAACAATCTCCCTAATAGAGCATGTGCTGGCTACTGACAATTTGTAAAGGTAAAAAATAATATAAGTACTGTTTAGTAACACTCTTTTTACTAATACGGTTTAAGTATAATTTAATAAGACTCTCAATTTATGAATAGTTAACTGGTAATCTGGAACCTTCAACCTTCATTAAAATATCAATTGTTAAAAAAAGTTATATTGCTGAATAAAAAGAGTTAATATATGGACAACTACTATACATTTGTCTTCGTTTGATACACAATTTTAAACATGTGGTTAAAAACTTATCTTAATTAATGGCTTAAAATTATCTTTTATATTTTTTTGGTAGGCTAGAGAAAAAGTTGGCAGGACAAGTAAAAGTCTTTTCCACTGGCCACACCAGGCCAGTAGAAAAAAATCTTAAGTGTTGAGCCCTGTTGACTAATTCTCATTCTCATTAAAATTCAAATGTGCATGGTTTTAAGACAATTACTTTGGATTACATATATATAAATATATATATTTATATATATATATATATATATATATATATATATATATATATATATATATATATATATATATTACAACCCGCAAAGTACCGCGTAAGTACAGTGAAATAACAGTGTACTTTTCTGTACATATAATTAACGTTTGCGTAGGTACACTATATGTACAGAAAAGCACACCGTTATTTCACTGTACTTACGCGGTACTTTGTGGGTTGTAAAAGAAAGCGTTACCGTCATGGGTGCTGTTGTTTTACTACAGTAATACCTTCTGGTACTGCGCTGCAGTGGCGCCTCACAGCAAGAAGGTCGTTGGTTCGAGCCTTGGCTGGATCAGTTGGCGTCTCTGTGTGGAGTTTGCGTGGGTTTCCTCCAGGTGCTCCGGTTTCCCCCACTGTCCAAAGATATGTGGTAAAAGTTAATTGGGTAGGCTAAAATTGTCCGTAGTGAATAAGTGTGGATGTTTCCCAGAGATGGATTGAGGCTGGAAGGGCATCCGCTGCATAAAAACATGCTGGATAAGTTGGCGGTTCATTCCGCTGTGGTGACCCCAGATTAATAAAGGCACTAAGCCAAAAAGAAAAAGAATAAATGACTGAATGAATAAATGAATGAATGAATACCTTCAGAGAACATAGTAGTCAGTGATCCACATAAGCAGAGTGGTGTGTAGTCAGAACTGGAACAGAAGTCTAAGCGCACACGATGATGTTTTCAATTGGAGATTCCAGCGAAACTGCCATTAAAAAGTTATAAGAAAAATAACATGTTAATCAGTATGACATCTCACCTGGTATCTACTATTACAAAGTACAATTCCATTCATATATATGTCCAATCCACAGTATCTGTACCATAAACTAGCCACAATTTTGACTCCTCACTCAGTATATTAAGTTGCATGGTATTTTGTGAGAAATTCAATGATCTTGTTTGGATTGCATTTCCTTGTGAAATTATAAAAAGCTTCATGATATAATTTTTTAAAAAATGAATGCGTTTACAAACATTTTTAAAGATACTTTTATGAGTAAACTGCAGTAACGTGAATCGAAAGAGAAGGATGTAGACAAAATTATTTTTAATAAACAGGGAAAAAAAAAATTACACCAGAACATAGCACAGCAATCAGAAAAAAAACAGACAAGCATGGTTTGTGAACAAAGGAAATCAGTAAAGAATGAAACCACAAAGAATTAACTTGACTTGACTAGCGATAGGGTAACGTTAGACAACTTACGAAATAGCAAGCTTCCCCATTCAATGCTGCTAGCTTCTCTTGCGAGGAGACCATCTCTAAATTTACAAACAGAGCAACAAAACTGTGAACCGACAGCGATTCACTTTGTTAGGATTACATGTTAAAAAATGTTAGCTCGATGATAAGCACCGGTAATGCTATTTGCGAAGTGCTTATAACGTTAAGTTAGCCTTTAACGTTATAGCCGGAGCAATACTTTTTATGCTCATTCCAAGTCGATTTGATAGATCATCTTATATTTTTACACAGTTTAGAAAGCAATGAAGACATAAAATTAAGTAATTTTGCTGAAATCGTCAAATAAATAACCAAAACAGCTATTTTTTTTAAATATATATTCATTAGCTGCTGTCAATGACCTCGTCACTACAGGGCGACATAAAAACGTATAAAGTGGTTAAGTGTTCATTAAAAATGTATTATAATGTAAAACGTTACACATCTAAAGTTCAATTCAACATAAATTATAAGTAAAACGACAAATAAAACATGTGAAACGTCGAATATCGTACTTACCTTTCATTACCGTTCCGCCCGTTGCTTGTGTCCGTTATTTAATTCAAATGATGAGCCCGCGCACGCACGTCACGCTGACTCGCGCAGAAGAGTTCCTGGCTGTGTTCTATTAACTCACCTTATATCTGTTATCAAGCATCTAAAAATACAGCTCCTGAGATGAAGAGCATCTGACAGGCAGGGCTAATGATGAAACTTCTGCTCAGACAATGATCTGAGGACAGCAGCGATGTTTACGAGCGAGCTAAATGCTGCATTGTGTAGCTATAGTACACAGATGGCACTGTTACTTCATATGTGCTTAAATATCTCTCTGAAATAACGCAAACACTCTCAAAGTGCGTAAAAGAGTATTAAGAGTTGAGCATGATACGACGTGAATACTAGTTAGCGTCCATAGATATATACGTTAAATGTCGCCTACCCTAATGTTGCTTTATGGACAGAATGCGTCAATAGATCCGCCATTTTAGTACAGGGTAACGCTCCTTTGAAATGAACACTTCTTTTAAATGAGCGCCATTTAGCGGTCACATAATCTAATGACTAAATATTATGACAACTTGTTCAACTTCTTTTATAAATATATAATTTGACATTAACTTTTTTTCTCAACACCACATTGGTAATTTTCAAAAGACAAATTTGTCTTGTTGGAAACTATTTTATATACTTAAATTTAACTTTTGCATGCTAAAAGTACTTGAGGAAGAGACGTTTTACTTGATTTGAGTCATTAAAAATCCGACTATATTATGAAAGAGGTAGCCTATATCTGCTGTATTCACCCTAAAGGTTGATATAAAACCAAAACAACACCCATTCCTATCTTAGGACTTTTTATTAAGCAATTTCTTTAATAACAGTAAGTTTATGCCATGTTATATATATATATATATATATATATATATATATATATATATATATATATATATATATATATATATATATATACACAAGGTCTTAAACAAAATTATAATAATAATAAATATAGTTATGTAACAACTATAACATTACTCTTATATCTTAGGACATCTTTGATTAATATTTTACTACCTACACTAAATGTTGACTATTGAAGGTACATTTATAACAACTATTTATTTGTAGACTACTGTATTATCAAACCATGTTGCATACAAATGCATTCAACAGACTTAAATGACTGTGTATTGCTGTAGAAGACAAATAAAACACGAGACAGCTGTTTAGGAAGAGTATAGTTTATTTTGCTTGACCTGCAAACTTATCTAAACAAGACTAACTCTCAGAAAACAGACCGAAAACATTATGATGCGCGCGCTCGTGGAGATGACCCGCGGTCGTCTTCAACTGTTGTCTTCAATAGTCCTTCTTTGCTCAACAACTCATCTGAAAAACAAAGCAAAACATTACAACATTCAGACAAAGAGCAGAGAGCATAGAATCACCAAGAGGCGATACTCTAGTGCAATTTGGGAAACAATAACGCGCTTTTTGAATACATTAAATAAAAACAAAGCCGCTGTTTGCCATTGCGACAGCAATGATATCCAATGCACGAGCGATCGCTTTCACTTCAAAATGGCCGAATCTGTTGCTCTTGGTCATCCTAGGCTCTTTGCATAAAGTTAAATCATAACAGTTATCATGGTTTCTATTTCAAACTATAGTAAACTAAAGTTTGAAACTATAGTTTAAAATAGAAGATGAGTGGGCCTCGCTACTCCCACCCACCATAACCCTCGCAGCGAGGTCCCACTACCGGCCCCCCGTGTTTCCCTGAGGGTCCTCGGGGGTTGTTTGTTCCCTGCCTAGGGCTCAAAGGCCGCCTCGCCCCAGGGAGTGCACGGAAAAGACCGGGCGCCAGGCCGTGCCAGTATTCACTGGATGTTGCTCGGCGGCACATTTCGAGCAACAAACACGTAATATTCTTCGCGATATTGCGTTTATGTACGCAAACCGCAAGGAACTACAGCACAGACGGGCCCGGGTGAAGCATCACGAAGCGGACTTCGTGAGTTTGGCGTAGCTCCACTCGTACCGTCGGTATTGAACTCACCTTGGTCAAGTACAAACAGCTACACCGGGCGAACTGACAACGCTGACTGAGAGCACACGAGCTTTATAGGAATGCATATGCAAATTTTTACAAGGTACGTCACTGTTGTCTCGTTGTCATGGCCAGCGCTGAGGAGGGCTCACCTGATTGGAGCACAGAGCCTCGGGAATTTGCGTCACGGCTAGTTGCCGTCTGCTGTTGACAAAAATATCTTAAATATAATAAATATATATTTTTACATTTTTGGTGCTCTGTAATATTCTGACATGCAGTAGAATATCGAGACAGATGAATATAATTGGATATATGCCGAGCTAGTGTTGTTCCCATACTTATAAACTTCCGGTGACCGGTTGTTGTGAGTTTTTTTCCATTTTATACGGTTCCTTTTACAGCATTGATGTTGTGATGCAATTAAAATACATTCAGTTGAATAAACTTTGGCATTCATTTAGTTTTTCAAGCGTAAAACGAGACAAAAGACCCTTTACTCGCACTCGCCCGTCAGAATCGGCAGACTAGCGCAGACGCTCCATTGAATACAATGAGGTAAAATAAATGCTCATATTATAAAGACATGGCGGGGGAAATGTAATTTAATGCAGTGCTTCTTGTACAATCTGAGACCCACTTTATATCGGATATCACTCAGCCAGTGGAGATCGCTGATTTTTAAAGAAAACAGACCTTAAACATGCTGATTTTCCCTTTGGCAGTTTGCTGGAAGCGCTTAACCCAGGTTACTGACAAGTTAAATGTCCTATTAGCATGCTTCAGCATATACCCTAAAATCCCAGAATATCTTTCGAAAAAGAGTACGGGTTTAACACCACCATCCTGGCCAAATTTACCCACTGGCCTCTGTCCATCATGGCTTTAATACTCTGTCTTCTCTCTCTGTGGTGTGCGGTCTGGTGGAAAACGGCTGCTGTCGCTTCATCCAGGTGGATGCTACAATGGTGGTAGATGAGGAGATTGCTACCCAATAAATACCAAACTAGCTAAATTTAATAATATTTCCTCTAAATGCTCATTTTGTACTCAATATGATGAAACACTAAAGCATTTATTTTGAGAGTGTACTTACTGTAAAGTGTTTTGGGTTGACTTTTCCAATTTCATTAAAAAATTCTAATTTCCAAACTTCTGTATTTCCCCAAAATTGTATTCTTTGGTTACTCTCTGAGTGTAGATCCTTCTCATTGTAAATTTATTATTGATTTATTGTTTTTTTATAGCAAAGTTTTACTTCCATAAATGCATAAATGCTAATTTTCAAAGAAATACCCTTACTTTTTTATTTTCATTTTATTTTTTATTAGATTGTGTCAAAGCAGCTTCACATAAATGGTCATAGTAACTGGAACAGTCATAAACAGTCATAATTACACTGCATATAAAACGCTTTCTTGGTGTAAATCATTTAAACTTGATTAATTTGCTGGAATTCTATTTATGTAACCCTCTTTGTCTCTTTGTTCATATTATATCTTTGTAATGTTCTTTCTTGCATTAAAAAAAAAAAAAAAGTAGATGAGGAGATTCCCCCTATGTGTAAAGCGCTTTGAGTGCCAAGAAAAGCGCTATATAAATGTAAGGAATTATTATTTTTATTATAAAGCACTGTTCTACCATCATGATATAGCCAGACTAAAATAAAAATCACATTATTACGATTAGCTTAAACTACAGCAAACACTCCACTCACTGACAAACAGCCCCTTTCATAAAGATTTATTCCACAGGTCTGTCATAATCAGGCAAATATACATTAACATACAGAATATCGGCCTCTTCTGATGCGCCACACGTTAAATAACGCAATAGTTCAAGACACTCGTTTGCTTTTTTTCTCTACTTAAAAGAACGATAACAATACATCATAACAAGAGCAACAAAAACAACAATAATTCATATCATAAAGATAAGCCAAGTTGTCTTTTCTAAAATTCAATATATAGCGACTCTTTTAAGGTGCACCACATGATCGGCAGGTGACTTGTTAAAGAAACTCAACAAATGTTGCACCATGACACACACACTGAAATAGACAGAGACTTTTTGCAAACGTTGTATATGTATATAAGTGTCTCTTTAAGGTCGTCTTCTGGCACTTTCTCCTGAGCGCGTCCGGCTCGGCTGTGTTTCTAAAGTTAAAGCAGTCTGTTTTTGTTGGTTTGGCACACATCAGGGTGGAAGCGGTGGTAGAGTAAGGCTTCTCTTCTTCTCTTCATATCCAGAAGACTCTGATATCTCATCTCTCACAGCACCTCTGCAGGAAAACAGCAGAAACACATGTGAGAAGATGATTTATTGAACTATTAAAAGCTTGCCAACAACATCTATGACTGTTATTATGAAGCTGAAAATAGAGACGCTTTGCAGAATGCCAAGGCTGCTTTTTTCAGTCATTCACACTGTCCTAAAGTCAACAAACTGCAGAAATCATCAGTTTCATGCATGGAAAATAGCTTAGAGACTCTCTTAATCATCCTTTATACATTATTTTCAAGATTTTATTTTGGGTTCAGTTTAGTTCAGTTCAGTATAATGTAAATGTCACTGCTGAAGGACGAAACACTGAAAAGCAACTCCACTGGTGCCCAGATTTGATCCATATATGATCTTACATACAGCTGAAACCAGAAGTTTACATACACTCTAAAAAAAGAAACACAACCATTTAAAAAAATGTCTGATGGTAAATGATACTAAACGTTTACTATTTTAGGTCCGTTAGGATAACCTAAATGATTTACATTTGCTAAATGCCAGAATAATGAGAGATTTGTATTTGAGAATTTTCTATTAATTTCTAGACCAGGGGTGTCAAACTCAATTCCTGGAGGGCCGAAGCCCTGCACAGTTTAGTTCCAACCCTGCTCCAACACACTTACCTGTAGGTTTCAAACAAGCCTGAAGGACGCTATTAGTTTGATCAGGTGTGTTTAATTAGGGTTGGAACTAAACTGTGCAGAGCTGCGGCCCTTTTGGAACTGAGTTTGACACCTGTGTTCTAGACAGTCAAAAGTTTACACACATTTCCTTGGTATTTTTTTTAAATCTTTGCTTTTAAACTGTTTAACTTTGGTCAAATGTTTTGGGTATTCTTCCACAAGCTCCTCACAATAGTTTGCAGGAATTTTAACCCATTCCTCCTGACAGAATTGGTGTAACTGAATCAGATGTGTCGACTGTCTTGCTCGCACAAGCTTTTTCAACTATGCCCACAAATGTTCTATAGGATTGAGATCAGGGCTTTGTGATGGCCACTTCAAAACATTCACTCTGTTGTCCTTAAAGCACATTTGAACTAATTTGGCAGTATGCTTAGGGTCATGGTCTGTTTGGAAGACCCATTTGTGGCCAAGTTTTCATTTCCTGGCTGATGTCTTGAGATGTTGCTTCAGTATTTCTACATGATGTTCTTTCTTCATGAT